TAGTATTAATTTTTATATATATATGCCATCAGTAATCTCAATCAAAGACAAATTATTTCACACGTAAGATTAAGTCCATGGTTTAGGATGTATAAACGGACTGTGGAGTATACGGATGTAAGAATCTTTTCTACTTAAAGTTACAATCATCTTGCTCGCTATCTAACGTTACTACCGTACTGAGACCTCATTTTCTATTGAAAGTTACCGAGATCTTGTTTTCTGTTATCGGAGACACTGTTATTTGACTATTTCAATTAGCTCCAAACAAGTACACAAAATGAAATTTTTTTTTAAATTTTAACTCATGATGCAGAGCCATGGAAGTCCTCTCCACACAAAATCTCAGTGAAAACATGCTATCCAGCACATCAATATAAAAAAATATTATTATTGCCATCTGGTCACTCATTTTTGATGATATATCTATATAAATTCTACCCTGCATTTGTTCATGACTTTTACAATTTTCAATCTACAGGATGGGGCTTTTTGATGAGCACCTCATATTAACAAATAAAAATGAGAAGCACATTTATATAGTCAATGTCGACAACATTCTTCGCGGAGGTGACGTCATACATTTGTACCTATTTTTTCTCAGTGATGACTTTTCTGTGCTATATAAATGGTGAACTTTTTGCACCAGAAAAAACAAAACACATGTCATGTACAAGACAATTAAGTGATATAAACAGCAATACCTGTTCACTTGTTTCAAAAACTCGTAAGTTTCATGTATTCATACACTTGCATTTTAAGTATATTGTGAATTTTTTTTTAAAACAACAACAACAACCAGAACTGAAAGCCACTCCACACTAAGAACTTCATAAAAGATTTAAAAAAGAGATGACACAAAACAAAAAAACTATGACATTGACTATATCAGCAATAATCATGTACATATATATATATATATATATATATATATATGTGTGTGTGTGTGTGTGTGTGTGTTTGTGTGTGAGTGAAAAACTGTATAAAATCAAACAACAATAGCACCTTTCTATAACGAGAGAGTGTAAAAAAAATACGCCACAAGAGCTATAAAAGTAAAAGACATTAGGAGCGAAAACGTTACTACTACTACAGACAAGGGTCCTCACAAAAAAAAGTGTTGGACAGAAAATGTAAATTATGAGACCATAATTTAAAAACAGACACACACATGAGTGCACACACGCAAACACAAACACATACATGCCCGCACACACGCAAGCACACTTTCTCACACTTACGCAAGCACACATTCTCACACACAAAATTTACTGGCACAGGGTAGTAATGAATAAATTGAATCTCTTGAGAGTACACAGTCACAAATGAAGTGGGACAACCATGTTCTCAGTCATTTACTGCTGTTTAGCACAGAGATCACAGAATCCTAAAGCTTAAAATCTTTTGGCAGATATTAAAAAGAAATTTAGAGCAAAAATTTACCAGCCTAAATGAACTGATGACTTTAAGAAAATTGCCCATCCCTTCCAACAAAATTTCATGAGACCCCAGGAGTCTTCGGCCAAGATTCCCGCAGCTCAAGAAGCAGTTTGAGTTTTTGTTGAGTAAACAAAGGCAGATCGACACAATAACGGTCATTTTTAATGCTGGGGAAAAGAAAGACAGACAGACAGAAACAACAAAGGGAAAGAAAAGAAGTAGGACCTTCCATGAGAGTCCTCCAACACCTCCATCGACACAATTTCAGATCAGTTAGGAGGCAAGCTTCAACCCTGTCTGTCTGGGCCAACGAAATTGAGGATAACAACATCCATTCAAGCAGAAAGGCCGAACTCTACAATAAAAATTCTCCCTACAAATGAATTGAGCTCTGGTCTTCTATGTGTGATGACAAATCACCGAACAGCTATACCATAGGTTTTGGTCAAAATATCGGGTAAACATGATTATAATTACTAATTAGTAGATGCTGGTCAGAAGAAGGAAAGCAAAGGTTGTGGCACTGGGTGTGAAAAAATTGTTAAATAGTATCTTTTAAAAGTTTAACACCCCTATCAAAACCATAATTAGGTTATTTAAGACGCAGGACCTCTGATTTTAATGTCCATCTCTGAAAAGACGGAACCAAAAACGAAACTCATGCAAAAGTCCCTTTCCCGAGGACACAACGTTGGACCAAGCTGAGGCTCGAATCCCCGGACCCGAAATCTCACTGTTGAGTAAAGCATAATAGTAATAATAGCACAATAATTGCCCCTTCAATTGATAGAACAATTAATCCTCCCTAGAATTGTAATCCGTTTGTCACGCCCTCTTCTGTTGTGTCATGGCTGAATAAAGGTACAGTGGAATCCTGTTATAACGAAAGGGAGGGGACCGGTGCGAAATGTCCGTTATACCAGGATTCTCGTTATAAGAAATCCAGTAATAAATTGAATGGAAATAATGAAGTAGGCTTCATCTATCAGTTTGGTGTTCTGTTTATTTCTTTTTGTTTTCTCCCCTGATGATGACATTGTTCAACATGACCTCTAGGTCTTACTTGATAAAAAATCAAATCAGATTTCTTTCTCGGGTGCTAGCGATGTTGACAGCACGGCGTTGGCGATGAGAAAAAATGCGCTCTGGGCTAACTCGTCCTCTGTGTTGTCCCCCACCCCACCACACCCCGTGGTGTGTTTCGTCTGCTTGCGCACGTTACTACACATTCACTCCATCCATCATAGCATTGTGACCTCTCCATCCTCGCTTCGGAGAAGTGAGGGCATGGGTAGTGGTAGGCCTAGATAATCTAGACTAGGCTGGCCTATCACACGATGCATTCTGCTTGTCTGCGCTTACCACACCCTCCCCACTCATTCGCTCCGACCTTCATTGTTGGCAAACGTGGGCTCTCCTATTCTTTGTTTCGCTCAGGGAGTTGATGTGAGATCCTGGGTTTCGCTAGATCACCTACAAGTTTCTCAACTGGCGAGGTTTATATGTATAACTGACCTGTGCGCTGTGCACAGCAGCAGCAATATTCCGCTATAACCGACTCCCCTAGTTGTCCGATAGCGCTATAGCAGTATTTTATTTACAAAGATAAAGAAGGGGAAAAAACGGGGTTTTAGAACAGTGTCTTTATAACAGACTTCTCGTTGTTTCAGGACTCGTTATAAGTGGACTCCCCTGTATTGTTAACTTGACCTTGACCAGTGAGCCCTTTATCTTTTTATTGTCATTTCCCATGTGTATGACTGGTCAACACTCATGATAACAGGTCCAATAGCCTAACCACTAGGCTACCAATGCCATGTTGAGCAAGATCCACAACAACTCATCATGCAATATGTTAAGTCGACCTGAAATTCTAGACCGTCCCAATGATTTGTAAAATTAACAAAGGCAAGACTCTCTGGTCAGGTAGAGCAAAGGTTCCCCAACAGCAATGGCAACAGCAGCAACAAAAGCAGGGATTACCATAAAGGTCTCGACATCTCCTGCATAATCGCTACTAACATTGTTAAACGCATCACTATTTATTCATGGCAGCCAACATCATATATTTTTATCTTTCGTTTCGACTTTTACAAGAAAAAGAAAACTCTCAGAAACACTTGGCTAACTAACACTGCAATGCGCTTTTTTTTCACTCAATGAACACACTTGGAACTTTCAAAAAAAAAGAAAGAAAGAAAAGACGTAAAAGAAAAAAAGAAAAAAGCAAGAACATATTTATAATAATTTATATAAAGAGAAAGTACTTACACAAATAAAAAGAACAAAGGTTCCGATGATCTGGTGTGTGAATAGGATCTAAGTTCTACACGTACCTAGCAGCCCCCAGATTATGATGTAACCCCCCCCCCTCCTACCCCCTACCCCTCCCTACTCCCCCAAAAGGATATACATCAACCCCCCCCCCCCAAAAAAAAAAAAACTCTCTTCCAGTCTACCACTACTCCTAGGTAGACAGTGTAATGAGTTTTGACTGTAGCTCAACACTGACATTGCAGTAAAGCTATCACCACAACTGGCACCATCACAACAATAAGAAGAAAGCAGAATAGAAAAGAGATATGTATTACTAAAAATTACAGCAGTAAAAATTAACGGTACATAAAAAGTCATGCAAATTGTAAGATTTGAAAATTGTAAGATAGATTGTCCATCTGAAGTACAAAAACAGGAACTGTAAAAATAGCACCAGCAATCACAGAGCGTTTTATCATTTTCTCACAAAAATTCTGAAGTCATCTCAACAAAGTCATTTTCAGTCATGAAGCAACAATGAGAAAAAAAAAAAACCTTAACGAGCAAAGGAGGCAATCCAACACTGTCACAGAGTATTCATACTTAGCAGAAAAATACATGTACAAATGTATTGGTTTAAAAATTAAAAAGTTAATTAAGCAAATATGTCTTCAAACATTCTCAGTTTTTGGGTTTTTCTTTAAGTAAACACCATCTTCTTTTTCATATAGATTCTAAAAACAAAAAGGATGTCATCTGCAAGCTGTTCAACTGTTCTAAACCCAGAAAGGAAAATTTTCAGGAAAGACCAAAAAAATGGTTTCATTCTTTTAACACTTGTACCTACAACATGTATCTTTTCTTGTTTATTTCAACATTTAGAATTTAAATATATACAGTATAACACAGGTATAAGGTCGAACACAGAAGACTTGAAATCACGTATCTATCGAACTGGGCCTACGGTCCCATTTTTCTTCTTTATCTTTGTAAGATATCCCACGAACTACGGATCCCTTGAACTACCTAGGCCGGTCCCCATAAATTCAAGCTTTCCATATTATATTGTAGTGACAAAATATTTCTCTCCAGCCCAAGTAACTGACACCACAGATTCAGAAAATGCAATGAAAAAGTTTTTCAAAATTTTGTCTTGAGTACATAATTTGAACAGCTGGACGAAAATATTATAGACATCAATTCCCGCACTTTAATTGATTCAAACCAGTGATATTGAGTCCACTTTAAAAATATATATGTGGAATCCAAACATGGCAGTAAACAAAAAAATAATAAAATCCCAATTTTTTTTTTCTGTTTGAGTGAGCACTTTTAAATGAAAATCCAGCTAAACCGAAGATAATCCAGTAGTCCTGCAGATTTTGTTTCAACGCTTTCCTATCACAAGGCTCAATATAGTAAAAACCCTTGCTATCAATGGCAAAGGCATTTGGGGGAAAATCCAAAGGAACAGTGTGATAAACATCGCCGATCGGCGAGATTTGACGGCAAAATGTTAAACGGACTCCACTGTACTTCAAAATTAAAACACTGATCGTTACACTCCATCATCGTCTTCCTCCCCAACTGTCCACGGCTCGGGCTCCATCTCCCATTTGAGAATGTATGAACCTTTGGATTTCATTTCTGGTGACAGAGTAAAAATCTCTTCAATCACCTCTTTCCTCAGTACACCATATACATACAAGGTGTGAAGCTTTCTGCACGCCCGAACCAGAGCCAACAGAGTCTGCTCAAACTCTGCGTTGGGCTTCGTATGAACTACGAGTTTTTCTAGAGTTCGATCGTAAAACATTTTGGCTAAATTCACCTCCAGCGTGATCCTGGTATAAGTTGCAAAATGCAACTCTTTGACAGGTATTTCTGGCTTGAGAATCTCTGCAATGCGATGATACGGACAGGTGTGATCAAAGCCAAGATCCACCCTCAGGTCCGGGTTTGCCAAAACCAAAGCAGACCAGGCTTCTGAAGAGATGTCCGTCCCATATTTCTCCGCCCTTCGACACACGACACCAAGCTTGAGCAGCTGCTGTCTGCCGGGTTCGGTGAACATTCTCAAAACGTCGTTGGACAAACTGCAGTGATAGAGGTGCAACTCTTTCAGCATCTCGCATCTCTGAACCAGATCGACCATCGAATGAGGAGATACTTTGCACACTAGCATTCCATTCAAAATATTCAAATACTCCAGCTGGGGACAGCTTGCCGCGATATGAGAAATGAAATCAACTTCAAAATTAGCTTTCATTTCCCGAAAGTTTAGGTACCTAATTGAGCGATATGCTGCTGGTTGCTGACCCATTTTCTCAAACAAGGAAGATAGAACTGCCATAAACTCCTGACCTGCATAAAACAAAGGGTTGTCTCCTTTAAACTGTACTGTAATATGAGTCAAACGAATATGATCTAAGTCATTAAGTGTTTTGAACACAGCAATAGCATTCATACGATTCACAGTCTCTTTTTGATTCAAGGCAACGGTGAGGTTATTAACAAACTGCCCGTATCGCTGCACAAATTTCAACAGATTCCCATGAGCTGGCAAGAAAAACCCACATTTCATGGTTTTCCAGAGCACAGGATTATCCAGACTCTCACGCCAATTCTTGCACGTTGCTCCAACTCGGCACCTTTCCAGGGCAGAGAGGAAGGAAAGTATATGAGTCACGAGGGGCTCTGGTAGATTAGCCCAGTCAGCGTAGAGGTCCTGCAACAACAGCAAAATGAGTGGATGTAGTACATCAGGCTATATTCCGCTAACTCTTTCACTACCGGGGGGGGGGGGGGGGGGGGGTGTTTCCTCATCTGGACCGGGCCATATCTGTGACCTACTTTCTGATTCTGCCTGCTGTCGGACAAATTAAAGATTTTCAAATTCAATTTTCAATATTAGCAAAATGTATATATGGAAATAAAGGGGAAATAATTACCTATCTCAACATGTTGCTAAAAATAATCATTCTTCAGCCTGAGATTTCAGATTTGATTATTACAAAAGTAGGTGTGGTTTTGAAGTAGGAAGTGGCGAGCCGTGGCAGTCCAGCGTTGGTGATAACACGAGCCCAGACTCCACTGCATTTTATCATCATGCATATTCAACACGCACTATCAGTGCTTTATTCATAAATATGTGCGGTATCGTGGTAAAACCAAGAGCTCATCAAAATAGTGAAATCTCTTGTAGAACAATAAAAATTTGACTTTTCTGCCCAATTTAGTAAATTTACTATTTTGGCTTAATTTTTTTTTTTTTTTTTTTGGGGGGGGGGGGGAGGGGGGGGACAAAAACACTTTTTATGCCCATTTAAAAACACATTTCCAGGTGGATTTTACTGGCAAACATTGATTAAAGCCACAAATAAATGTACATATGCAGCTTCCAAGGATACTTCAGCTTTGTAATTCACCAAATTTTGGCAGCCATTTTCTCGCTAATTTTACCTCGGACACTAGGCATCCCCCACCTCCTTCAGTCTCAAATATCACAACTTCTATTCAAGACAGATACATGATACATACTTTTTTTTATCAAAAGCAAGGAAAATGAACAAGCTTTAAGATGATACCATCAATAACTCCAATTTTTTTTTTATTTGACTTGCACCCGATTCCACCAAGTGGTGACACAAAATTAATTTCTGAACTCATACATGTTGCTATCGGAGCCACTGTTCCAAAACCAAGCTAAAAAAAACAAACGAAGTGACTATTTATCCGAACGTTCGGAGAAATAGTGCCAATCTTTATTTCTCCGAACGGTTTCCGGCTTCCGGTCTCGTGATTTTTTTGCCTAATTATTGCGAGAGTTTGGCGCCAACTTTCATTCTGCCTCTGGTCTGGGAAGGAACACCGCATGGCAAGCCCGCCTACAGACAACCTTCAGTAACACCTACCACACACCCACCACCATCATGCACATGTACACACACAACGGATGACGAGCTGAGCTGTGGATGGAGAGACAGTATGAGTGACAGAGCAGGTCAAAGGAAGAATGTACGAGTGTATCCATAGGCGTCAGCAACTACAAGACGACGACACCGACCCCCCTGGCCTGGTCCACAGCTCACGAACGAAAGGCATGCGGTTAAGGCAGTGTTTTGTCTATATTATTGTCCATGGTTCGCAGGGTGCAAGGGATCGAATGAGTCAGATTTTCTTTGTGTGTGCCTGGAGGGAGGGGGTGGGGTGAGAAATTCATGCGGACGGGGATGAGCCGCGGGACAGAACACGGGAATTGAAAGAATGAGTGAAACTGAAAGAGAGGAACGACTCATGAGCCGTGGAGTGAGTTGATCCTGTGTTTCTATTTTTGTATACTTTGAACAGTTGAAGGCTGAAATAAAGCCCGAAACAAACACACACACGCTCCTCACTCTCCACTTACACACTTACTACCACACACAGACACACTCACACACGCACATGCATACACACATACACACACAGGAGCAAACTTTTAGGTCTATGTCTATTTCAATTTTCAAGAGCTAATCTAGAGATTTTTAGATGAGTGTAAAAAACGCGAAAAAGAAAGGTTTCACAACAGAATGAAATAAAAAATAGAACAGCCCATAAACAAACGCAAAAATTAACAAATAAGGGCGTGAGTCCACCTGTCTGAAGAAGATTGGCTGTTTGAACCCTAAATGTGCGTAATTTTAAAACAAAGTACATGATGTTACATGTAAATTATGGAATCACACACATTATTAAGGGGCCTGCCAGTGTCAGTACATGTAATGGGTGGTTTTGGTGGAACGTACGCTCTAACATAACACATTTAAATCTATATATAATATATACATGTATATATATTTAGAATCTAATGAAGGTAGGAACATCAAATTAAATGACGTGTTACACTATACAACACCCCCCCCTTTTCCCCCCCAAAAATTGATAGAAAAACAACACATCAGAACAATAACAAGAACGAAAAAAATACAAACTAACAAAATAAAACACCACAAAGAGTGAAAAATAAAAGTAACTGTAACGTATTCAACAAAGGGTCCCTTCAACAAATCAACGTGGTGACAACAAGTGAGAAAGAGACGAAGTGAAGCTAGGTGAACTTTCTTTCAAAGTAAAGAGGTTCGGTTTCTTTCTTACTTTTTAAAAAAAAATTTGACTTTTACTTTTATTCCCCGATTCGGAGACCAAAAAATGCCCAAAAAATCGAGCCACGATTGATTGGTCGCGACCGCGACAAACGCAGATGCTAGTTCTATGTGTCGTTATCAATAACCCTCCGTAGATCTAGATCTTGATCTAGACAGCACACAAGTGAACACATTAAGTTTAAGAGTAGCACTCTTCACAGGCAACACGTCATATCTGTAGCGAAAAACTGTTTGGAACTGTAGCACTTCTTTATATAAATATTTACTGCGGACATGTTTTGGACCTATTGAACCATATTGTACACGAACAATCTTTGGTAGGCCTATACTATAATTATAGATCTATATAATATCCGAAATTTGCGGGAAAGGATGTGATTTCAGAGTGTTCGGAGAAATAGTGCCCAGCTTTATTTTCCCGAACGTTCGGAGAAATAGTGCCTAGCTTTATTGTCCCGAACGTTCGGAGAAATAGTGCCGGCCAAAAAAAAATCCTTCGATACCTCCCTCACCACTGGGCACACAGAGCCATGTTGGCTCAAGTACAACACGTTGGGTAAATCAGGAGAAACTAGTTTGGAAAAATTTAAAAACAAATTCACTGTCGTGTCATGGCTCACACCATCACGACCTTGTGATAACAGACATTATGATCAAATACATCATGCCTATTGGTCTGGAGGTTCGCTTCCGTTCAGTTCGGTACAGTTCCGTTCAGTTTCTGGCAGTGTCAGTTCACAAATTTTAAACATAGACAAACTGTCCAAAGGAACCCGATCGCACCTGATGCACAGCCTTGAAAACAAACGAGTTTAATGTTATTGAAGGTCATCACCAGTTTTGTCCGTTTTGCCCCTTCCGTGAAGGACAATCCGACTAGCCCCAAACTAACAAAACCGAACCGAACTGATGATGCCAATGGCACCGCTTATATTACTTGTTACTACTGCATACTTCCAGTCAAAATTGTCCAAGACTACCACTCAAAACACAGGAGAAATTTATGAGGCATCGTGGTGAAATCAGGTGTTCATCAAAATAAGGAAATATCAAAGAAATTGGCATTTTTGGGGGCCGACTGTCAATTTTTTTCTTATTTTCTTTTTTTGGCTCAACACCTTTAATGTCCATTTAAAAGCACATTTTTGTATGGATTTTCTGAAAAACAATGATTAAAAAAGGCACCAAAAAAAAGTACATTTTCAGTTTCCAAGAACTCTCTGCCTATGGAAGATACCAAACTTCGGTAGCCATTTTCTCGTTAATTTTACCTCTGTAACCGGGTGAACCTGACCTCCTTCAATCTCAAATAAGTCGAATTCTATTCAACATGGATATATTTTTTTAACCAAAACGGAGGGCCAATGAACAGGCTTTAAGGTGATACTCAATAACTCCATAAAATATGCCTAAAAATTGACGAGCGCCTGATTCCACCACGCCGTGACAAATTTTAATTTAAAATTAAGTGGTTGTCTAAGACAAGTGCACATCGTAGTAGAAGTAGAGGTTTTACAGCGCTCGCAACTGCATAAGGTCATAATCATATGAGTGCCAAGGGGTGGATGTCAACAGAGAAGTCCTTACAGGGAATCAGGCTTACTCTGCTCACCTCTCTAACTTCAATAGCACAAAGTCTGCTTCAACTGTCAAGGTACCCCGGAAATAGCAGGCCACAAGAGTGTGACAAACATACAAAAGAAGTAGAGGAAAAATGATGATAGTAAGGATCAGGAAAGAAAAAACAGCAGTTCCCTGTTGCAGTTCAGGCACAGTTTATGAGCATGACACTGACAAATCAGCTGTAGCTGGTCGGCGGCTTAGGACTACTATAACCCACAAAATGTTGTTTTGGGGGGTTATTTGAAGGGAGGGCGGAAATATAGGCTACTTTGTTGGTTTTTATTTCAAATGATATTTTTTTTAGAGGGAGAGGGGAATGTTTAAAACTTGTTATGAGGTAATTTGCAAGTTTCAGTGATTTCTTTTAAGAAGGCGTTCAAAAATCTTGTAAGGATCACTTCATTAATTCATCCTAGAGGAAGAAAAACAGAAACGAAAGGCCCTCTGTTAAACTGAAATCAAAACTATCTCAGTATATTCACAACTGATTGAGACTTCTAGAACAGCAAGCTTCGTATCCAGCAGTTTATAAAGTTGACAAAAAAATCATAGATCTGAAGAATAGACTTCAGAGCTATGATATCATGTTTATATTGTTGCTGTCATGCACAAACCTTCTAAGCAACAAAATTTTCAAAATTTTACTTTTTTGGCTAGTAAGTTTCTGTAAAAGAGTTATGTCCCAGTAAAACAATATTTGACAGAGGTGAAAAAACGCGTATACACACAGACACACACACACACACACACACATACACACTTGTAAGCCGTCTTCAATTTGAAGTTTTCACTCAAGAACAAAACCACCAAAGCGATATGAACTGATGACAACCGATTCAGACCCGCCGTGTACCTACGTATCATGCGACACGCTTGGCGCTTACCGAGTCTGTGCACGACGATACACTCGAGTAGAAACCTTGTAAAAGTCCCTTATTCATTTTACTCCTACTTCAAACAACACGTGGGAAGATAAAGAATCATATTTTATAAATAAAGTTGAAAAGTTTTCTAAAATATTAACTTTATCTCCAAGGGGGGTAAACCCTCGATGCCGGGGTCCTTTTTGGTGCTGAATCTAAAAATGACAAAAATGTCATTAAATGGGTCATTATATAAAATAGAAAGTAACAAACCTATTTTTTATAGTTTTCTATCTAATGAATGCACACTTATGGTATAGAGACCTGTTTTCGGCAATTGCCGAAGAGTAATTTGATGTCGAAGTCGTCGTAAAGGAATGAGCCCAAGCCGCTGTCAGCGGCTCACCGGCACAGTGGTTCTGACAGCGAGCCGCTTGGAGCGGCTTACCGGAGAAAAAGAGTCAGAAATATCGGAAATTTTTATCAGTTTTTTGCTTCTCCTGTAAAACTTTGTCAGTGGCGCTTGGGGGGGCTTTGCACGACGGCAACGATATTTATAATCCTGTCCTCCAATTATTGATCTTTTGGGACAATCAGGTTTTCTTCCCAAAGATTAACTCCCTATCCTACCCATATATATCTAATCCTACCCCCCCCCCACCCCCACACCACCAACCACCCTTTCTATAAAGTAGTAGACCTACCCAATATTCCAGTGGCCTATACTCTTCAGGCCAAAACCAGAGATATATTATATATTTATATATATATGCCAATCTCTCGACTCTAGAGATAGAAAATAATGACTGCTTGTGAGGCAAGAAAAAAGATAAGGCCTACACATAAGGTTAGATCTTGTGAGAATATAATTACAAGCTCACCTCTGACTCTGCATCGACTCCATTTCCAAGTTCCGTATTATGACGATGTGATCCCGATTCCTCTCTGCGTTCATTGTCCCCATTACTGTGTGACAGTTTTGGTCGCTTGGCGTCAGCAGAATCCATGCCATCCATGGTTTACTAGATCTACTACTGTAATTGTTACTCCAACCTTAATAATCCTTTGATGAGTACAAGTGTATCATGTACACATGACAGACAATTAATGTGTATCAACTGTCACTAGGTCTAGCAGAACGTCTTATCTTGATGAATAATTGGAGCTAGAATCTTGGCCAGTTTGAAGTTTGATCATCATATTGATCTTCTCGAAGTTTTTATTGTATAATTAAATTCGTCCCTGTGCAAACTGAAAGATCTTACGGTCTACCTAGGCAGGTCTTATTATACTCACTCGCTATAACTGCCGTTTGTATTGTGAGTTTGACTTGGTTCGACGATTAGAATATTTGCATGGTGATGATGCACCAAGATAAAACATGAGCGTCGTGATTCCTAGATCTAGATCTAGAATCTAGAGTCTCTAGGCTTTCTAGATCTAATCTAGATCTATCTCATCACCAAAACCCGAGGCCCGAGGTCGGGTCGCCGAGGAGAGGACGGGTGATAAAAGTACTGTAAAAGAATAAATAAACATGTCACGTAATTTACATTTATATACCACTGCCTCCAGGGCCAGATATAAGCAGCAGGTAGGCTTGGGCCTAGATCTAGTTACAATATTTGCATGGTGATGATGCACCAAGATAAAACATGAGCGCCGTGATTCCTAGCCTAGCGCTAGATTTCAGCCTGCATTCATTTTCCCGACATCATCGAGAAGTCATAGGCCTACAGTGTCGGCCAAGAGAACCAGATGTAAACATGACATGACTCATGACTGACATGAGCGAGTACTTTAAACTTTCTGTACAATCGATTACTGGAATCAAAGACAGACGGTCAAATTGATCATCTGTCTGACTGGCCTAGCTAGGCTAGCCTAGGCAAGCGTGAAGACACAATTAATTATTCCATTCCTATTCAAATATTTATGTTTGTCTCATGCCCGCATTCCATCAAAGTTGGCCCTACGTAATATATTTGAAGATCTAGAAATTCAAAAATTAAAAATATGACATTAAATAATAAATTCACCAGTCAACAGTGGCCTATTATACTGTATTATACCCCACAGAGGAATATAATATGGCAAAATATGGCATATTAATATTATTATACCAGATAGATCTAGTAAACTCTCAGATTATACCAGATTATTAATATACTAAAGGTCTAGGCTAGGCCAGGCCAGACGCCAGACCTAGCAACCTTTGGCGAAAAAGATGGTATACCTTTTTATATCGATACTAAAGACTAAAGGCAAAGATAAGATAGTGCTAAAGCAAAGATAGTACTATCATTGGCTAAAGGCAAAGACAATATGTTGACTACTCTTTGCTAAAGGTAACTGTAACATGCAAAGATCCTCTTTGACAAGTTTTGAACCCCCCCCCCCCCCCCCCCCCCCCTCACACACACACAGTGTGCTGGGGTACTGGGTTAAAAATTTAGGCCTATTTTCTTTACAAGGAATAGGCCTCTAAATTACGTAGAGCTTATTCCATAAAAGGAAGGGTGTGTGCGTGCGTGGTGTGCGTGTATTGTAGCCTCTATTTTTATGCGTGTGTGTGTGTGTGTGTGTGTAGTGGAGGGGGGTAGGCCTAATTTTTAAAGGCCAAGATTCGAAGTGCATAATGTAGAGATCTGATAACTGTGGAAACTTTTCCGCGTTTGCAGACCTGACTATTTAAGGATAAAACGCCTGACACCGCCAGCAGCAGACTGGGTGGGCTAAGGCTATTTTTATATTACATTGTATAGGTCTGATTAATAAGGCCTATATATACTATACCCGCTACCGCAGTACACGTGACACCGTTAACTTGAAATCACTCGATCTGTCACCCAAATTTGGAAATGCTTGTTTATATTATCATGAGCACAGCAGACGCTGTATAGTCCACAATGGTTCTCCTCTGTAATTGATATTAGAGGCCCAACAACAATAACCCCCCCCCCCTCCCCAATCCCAGTAAATATAAAATTTATAGAATATATAATAAACTTGTCTTGTATTAACATCGGCCTGTAGGCCTACTTGTAGGATGCAAATAAACTCTCTCTCTCTCTCTCTCTCTCTCTCTCTCTCTCTCTCTCTCTCTCTCTCTCTCTCTCTCTCTCTCTCTCTCTCTCTCTCTCTTTACCTTTAATTAGAGTCTATTTATGAGTGCGAGTGTGTGTGGGGTGGGGAGGGGGGAGAGACAGAGAGAGAAAGAGAGTATTATATAGGCCTATATATAGATATATATACACAGACACACACAGAGAGAGAGATGGGGGGGGGGGGTGGCACTACGATACAGGTATGGGAGGGAAGGGAGCTAGGGGGTAATAAGTCGAAATGGGAGGAAGAGAGAGAAAAGGGAAGCAGTAGGCCTAGTGTAATATAGATGTCATCTGTCATTTCATCCCACAGTAGAAAACAAATAGAAAAAACAAAAACCACAAAAAACGTGCAGGTATTTAATAAATGCAGACAGTGCACACTCAGGCAGATCATTTTAATAGTCTTAAATAATAATATAGATGTACACACACATGTAGGCCTATATATATATTTATATATATATATATATATATATATATATATATATATATATATATATATATATATATATATATATATATATATATATATATATATATATATATATACATACAATAAGGGCCAATGAAAAATGTGAACCTAACAAAACATTTAAATTTGGAAAGACAAAGACTCAAAGGTGCACTGAAGGAAACTTGAATATTCCTGAAAAATTTTTTGACAAGCTTTTAGAATAGCGCAAGGGAAAAAAGTGCATGATATATTATTATCATACAAGAACATTATCTTTAAAATGCTCAGAAAGAATTAAAGGATAAACTATATTATGACTTGGAAATTTCTGCCTGCACATCATGTTAGTGTTAGAGAAACAGCAGAATAGCGTCCTAAAAAGCTGTCGACAGATATTTCAAAAGGTAGGCCAAAGACACATTCATGACTCAGTATGACAAAATCTAGATAATAATAATAATCATCATCATCATCATCTATTATTGTTATCATAAATATATAATAATAGTAATAATAATTATAATCATAATAATAATAATAAAAATAAAATAATAATAATGCATGTAGGCCTACACCTTTCCCCAATCAAATATATCAAAATAGAGAGTTCAAAAGAAACATTTTAAAAAATTATTCAAAAGAGAGTCAAATCAAATTCAACATAGAAAGTTCAAACATCAAAATAGAGTGAGCAAAAGTAACACTAGAAGCTTAAATATATATTTTAAAAATAGTGCTACCGGTATCAAAAGTAACGTTGTCAGTTCAAATTCAACACACATAATTTTATATACAATAGGTTGTTCTACTCTCTCTCTCTCCCTCTCTCTCTCTCTCTCTCTCTCTCTCTCTCTCTCTCTCTCTCTCTCTCTCTTTCTTTCTGTCTGTCTGCCTGTCTACTGTCAGTCTATTAGATCGATCTCTTTATCTCTATATCTATCTATCTAAACTCGCACAAAAAAGTCAACGAACAAAAATTTTAAAAAGATAAAACTGAAAAACAGTTCAACCGAATTTATTCATTTTTCCGAAAAAGATGCTTTTGACTATCCAGATTAAGTGTGTACAATTTCAGATTTTAACAACAACCTAAAGCTCATGAAAAATGAGTTTACGTTTAAGTCACACTGGTCGGATTTCAAAAGTCTCAACAGACATGTATAGTTCTTCATGAACATAGTCAATAGTGGGTATAGCCACCCCGTTTGATCAGACACTTGGCACTCCGTCGACGCATGGACAGGACATGCCTTCGGAGAACTTGTTGCGGGAGGTTCTGTCGCTCCTGAACGAGGTAGCCCAAGAGTTGTTGAAGATTTTGTGCAGGAAGGTAGTTGTCCCTTATCCGGTGGTTGGTGTGGTCCCAAATGTTCTCTATTGGGTTCAAATCCGTACTACAAGCTGGCCAGTCCATGCGGGCAACACCTCGCTGCTGCAGGAAGTCCCCCACGATGTGTACGCGATGTGGTGTTGTCGTCCTGCAGAACAGCCTGGGGTTCAACCTGCTCCAAATAAGGAACAGCAAGGGGAAACAGGATTTCGTCCCTGTACCTTGCCGTGATCAGATTGCCCCATATATGGTACAGGAGGAGGGGGGGGGGTCATTGGTCAACTGAGAAGTCTCCCCATACCAGAAGAGACCCCGTAGAGCGCCACCTGCTGGATGCAGTCATGGTGGAACCGCTCTCCTCGGCGCCTCCAGACGTGGGCTCACCTGTCTGGGTGCAGCAGCTTGAATCTGGATTCGTCCCGAGTAGACTACCTGGTCCGACTGATGTTGTGTCCACTGTGAATGGCGAGCAGATCACGCATGGCGCACTGCTTTGTGTGGCGGCGTGCACCTTAGGCACCTGGAAGGGACACGAGAAGCGAACCTGGCTCTATGGAGACGGTTCCTCACTGTCTCCTCGCTTACAAGGACATTGGTTGCCACCTGTAGAACTTTTTCGGCCCCTGATGCGGTTTGCAGTGGTGGGTCGTGACGCCACGACCTGTCTGACTTTGAACTGGTTAATCCTGTCGTTGGTCAAACGCGGCCACCCTGATCGAACTGGGCTGCCCTGGTCGAGCCTGTCCTGGATCCTTCAGGTCGATCGCCATCGTTCTTGCATCCTCCAAATGAGGGAGACACCCCCAGGTCTATGTGCAACAACTGGGAATGGGGAGCCATCTTGGAGTGGAGCCAGGCAAGGGTTCGTACGTCCTCTGTCGACATCAGGCAGCGAGAATCATTGGACAATTGTGTTGTAACGAAATATGGCTGAAAAACGCTGGCTTACAAAGGGTTACAAGTGAGTAATATTCACAGCCAAGACATCTGTTTAGCACATGCCAAGCTCAGTTTAGCCAAAAGTCCATATATGCCAATATTGCTGAGGCAGAGAAATTTGGCCCATTTTTCATGCTTTTAGGCTGTGTATCGGATTGCCCTGCGCCGTTTCTGTAAAACTTGTGCTGGCAAATTTACTATATGGCAAACTGTGTCTAGTCGTCAGTGGGTTTGTCAAGTTTGGTTGACTGAGCTTAATAAAGTGTTTGCGAGATAATCATTATTGGGGTTTAAACTTGAGAGGTGAAAACACGAGCTGTTCCTTGACTTTTTTTCTGTGAGTTTATCTATCTATCTATCTCTGCCCCTCCCTCTTTCCCTCTGTGTATCTCTCTCTCTGTCTCTTGCTTTCATTCCTCCACCTCTCTATCTCCATCTTTCCCCCCCCCCCTTCTCTGTCTCTCTCTCTCTAAAAATTTGAGTCAAAGTAGCCGCACCATTTTTAACAAATGCAAGGTTGGTTCGGCAGGGCTATTCGAAAGTGTAATCTGGGTGGCTTTTAACTACTATCGAAACCCGCTCATCTTTCATTTCCAAGGTTACTTTCTCAAATCTTTTTTCAACAGTCTAAAGTTTTAATTGTTCGTCGAACGGTACTGTGTAAGCAGTAATTTGGTTGATTTGCAACTGTTTAGTTTAGCGAGCATCATGTAATCGTCACCTCGCAGAAAGGCTTCTTGTATACCTTTGTACTGGTATTCTCTGTTTATCCTCGAGACTGACTCTTTTTTTAGTTTAGTTTTAGTAGAAGTTTTACGGCGCTCACAACTGCATAAGGTCATATGAGCTCCAAGGCGTGGATGTCAACAGAGAAGTCCTTAACCTACAGAGAATCAGACTTACTCTGCTCACCTCTCTAGCTTCAACAGCATAAAGTCTGCTTCAACTGTCAAGGCACCCCGGAAATAGTGAGTCACAAGAGTGTGACAAACATACAAAAGAAGTAGTGGAAAAAGGACGATAGTAAGGATTAGGAAAGAAAAAGAAGCAGTTCCCTGTTGCAGTTCAGGCACGGTCATGAGCATGACATTGATGAATCAGCCCATATTTACAATTCTACTGTGCATAAGAACTAGTCAATGTCCCCCCCCCCCCCTCCCTCCCCTTTGGGAATGGCCTAAAGACACTTCAGTCTGTAGCACAGTGCACCTTGGGGGGTTGACTGACTCTTTGTATCATTTCTTTTTTGGTCAGGCGTGCTTAATATGCTGCTGTGTCTTCCATGTAAGATCTGTTACAGCGATTGAAGTATAGGATCTAATAAAACGAGATAACGGTTAGATAGATCTAGGCAGCAGACAGGGGGAAACACGAACATTAAACAATGAATGTAGCTAGCTAAGAGACAGATATTTTAACTTTCATTGCTGCATTTGAACTCACTAGATCTATCTTGATCTTTGATCATGAAAACGTGTAGATCTGGAGAGCAGACTGCGAGTACTGAAGGTGAGAGGCATGAACAATAAACTTAACGAAAGTTGCTAAAAGACAGGGCAGCTTCCCCTGACTCAGATATGATGGTACAATAGTTACATCATAGCTTCGTAGTTTTTCGTATTGTTGAATTTGAACTTTCCTATGCTGTATTTGAGCTGACATTACTGACAATGAGGAATTTGATTTCCCTTATGTTCACATTTGAGCTGTCCTGTGATTACATTTGAGCAGACATTTGCTTATGTTTTCCATTGTGTTGAACTCTTCATGTTGAATCAGTCTGACAATTTTGATACATTTAAACTTTCATTGCTGCATTTGAACTCTCTATTTTGATATTTGATCGGGAAAACGTGTAATAATAATAATAATAATAATAATAATAATAATAATAATACTTGTAGGCTATCATGTGAATGGAACCGGTCTTCAATGTTCACAACCAAAACATCATTTGTAATGATATTAACACAACCGCAAACATCTCTCTCTCTCTCTCTCTCTCTCTCTCTCTCTCTCTCTCTCTCTCTCTCTCTCTCTCTCTCTCTCTCTCTCTCTCTCTCTCTCTCTCTCTCTCTCTCTCTCTCTCTCTTTTTGTTTATAGTCCTACAGCTGGTCAATAATGATCCCCTGGAAGTCTTATAGTGATAGCAATCCCCATGTCTAGCCGTGCAGTCTCGGCATTGAGAAGAATAGGACTGACGTGGTGCTAGCGTGTCGTACAAGGCGACTACATGGCGAACCAGGTAGTGACTCCTGAAACAGAGTCATCCTGCCTCCATGTCGGGGGTTGAGTCACGAGGCTAACAACCTCTCTCGTAAAAAGAACCTGTTACAGAAACACATACAAGCAAAAACCATTATCTCTGCTTGGCTGATCGTGGATCTTCTCAAAATGGATAGTTTATGATGCAAGGCACTGAAAGCCGAAAGGAAGCTGCTGGGCAGAAGCCTCCACCATCATCCAAGTCCAAGTCTCTTCGGATCGGCTCGTGGAACGTTAGGACCCTCTATGAGGCTGGAAAAACTGCACAAGTTCTCCAAGAAATGCACCGATATCAACTACACATACTGGGAATCAGCGAGACCCACTTGAACCAGTCTGGACAGAAGTGAATGAAAGAGGGGGAACTCTTCGTTTATTCAGGAAATGACAGTGATGGACCACACAGGGAAGGAGTAGGGATGATCATATCTAAAACAGCCCAAAAGACATTCAGGGGCTGGGAAGCACATGGTCCAAGGATCATCATGGCCTCATTTGGAACTAAGAAAGAACTCAAGGTAAGAGATGGTAGGAAGAAGGTCATTAACATGAACATCATACAAGTGTATGCTCCAACCAATGATGCAGAAGTGGAGAATAAAGATGACTTCTACAACCGCCTGCAGAGCGTCATCGACAAACTTCCAGGTAAGGACATCAACATTGTCATGGGAGATCTAAATGCAAAGGTAGGTTCGGACAATAGTCACAATGAGGAAATCATGGGCAGACACGGATTAGGAGAGGCAAATGACAATGGAGAAAGGTTCCAAAACGTCTGTACATTCAACAACTTGGTCATTGGAGGTACAATCTTCCCATACAAAAGGATTCACAAGGCCACTTGGGTCTCACCGGATGGAACAACGGAAAACCAGATTGACCACTTTTGCATCTCCCGAAAGTTTAGACGCTCACTGGAGGACGTCCGAGTCTTACGAGGAGCAGAAGCCGCATCAGACCATCATTTGATCCTTGGAAAGATGAAACTAAAACTGAGAAGATATGCACAAGTCGCCGCTGGAAATCGTCTAAAGTATGAAGTGAGCCTTCTGAAAGACCCAGTAGAGAAGAATGAGTTCAAATTGGAACTGAAGAACAGATTTCAAGCCCTTCAAGATCTGGATGAATGTGAAGTCAACGAACATTGGGATAAGTTAAGAGAGGCAGTAAATGCAACTTGCCAGAGCACCCTAGGACCCAAAGACAACACCAGGAATGAATGGATTTCACAGGACTCTCTAGACAAAGTCAAAAGAAGAAGAGAGCTGAAGGCCCAAGTCAACAACAGCCGTACCCGAACTGAGAAATTTGCTGCACCACAAGAGTACACTGAAGTAAACCGGGAGGTAAAGAAGTCCATCAAGAAGGACAAGAATACCTACCTGAATGGCCTGGCCGAAAAGGCAGAGAAAGCAGCAATAGACGGGCACTTGAGGATTGTACACCAGACTACAAGAACGCTTTCAGGTAGGTTCAGCAAGCCCACTCTACCAGTGAAAGACAAAGAAGGAAAGACTATCTTTAACCCAGAGGGGCAACTTAACCGATGGAGAGAACACTTTGATCAACAACTGAACAGACCACCTCCAGAAAACCAACCAGAAATTCTTCCAGCCAGAAATGACCTCCCAATAGACACGGAACCACCTTCAAGAGAGGAAATTGCAGCCGCTATAAAAACACTAAAGTCCCACAAGGCAGCTGGTCCTGACCATATACCACCGGAAGCCCTTAAGACAGAGAAAGATACGTTTGTGGAAATTCTCTATGCGCTCTTTGAAAAAGTTTGGCAAAAGGAGGAAATACCATCAGACTTGAAGGAAGGCCACCTAATCAAGCTGCCAAAGAAAGGAGACCTCAGCAACTGTAACAACTACAGAGGCATTACACTCCTTTCCATACCCGGGAAAGTCTTCAACAGGATACTCCTGGAGAGAATCAAGCTGGCAACAGATGAGAAGCTTCGAGGAAACCAGGCAGGATTCCGTAAAAACCGTTCATGTGTGGACCAGATCGCTACTCTACGTATCATTGTTGAGCAATTGCTTGAATGGAATTCACCACTCGTGGTCAACTTCATTGACTATGAAAAGGCGTTTGACAGCGTGGACAGGGAAACTCTGTGGAAACTCATGCGGCATTTTGGAATACCTGAGAAAATCGTCAAGCTTGTGAAGGCCACCTATGATGGAACAAGCTGCCAAGTCTTCCACGAAGGACAACTCTCAGAACCATTCCGGGTACAGACAGGAGTGCGACAAGGATGCTTGCTCTCACCTTTTCTCTTCATACTAGCAATTGACTGGGTCATGAAAGAAGCCACCAGAGGCAAACGTAATGGAATACAATGGATCCCTTGGCAGCAGCTGGACGACTTGGACTTCGCCGATGACCTTGCACTGCTCTCTCCCACACATGCTCAGATGCAAGAAAAGACCAAGGAACTCAACAGCCTATCAAGGAGTGTTGGCCTACGTATACATCCAGGCAAGTCAAAAGTAGTGAAGCTAGGAAAAGTTTCAAACCTTGCTGTGACAGTGGAAGACACTCCCCTGGAAGAAGTGGACTCCTTTACCTACCTTGGAAGTGTCATCGATGGTAAAGGTGGAACCGAGGCAGATGTTAAAGCAAGAACCGCCAAGGCAATGTCAGCCTTCAAGCAATTATCAAAAGTCTGGAAAGCAAGCAACATCTCACTGCGCACCAAGATTCGACTTTTTAACTCTAACGTCAAGTCTGTGCTCCTCTACGGCTGCGAAACTTGGAAGACAACGAAGACAGTACTGAATAAGGTCCAGACTTTCATCAACAGATGTATGAGGAGTATTCTAAGAATTAAGTGGCAGGATAAAATAAGAATTGAAGAGCTGTGGGAAAGGACAGGACAAAAGGATATAGAAGTAGAAATAGGACTAAGAAAGTGGCGATGGATGGGACACACCTTAAGAAAGCCCAGCGGAAACATCACAAGACAGTCACTGCAGTGGAACCCACAGGGAGCACGAGGCAGGGGTAGGCCACGGGAAACATGGAGGAGATGCGTGGAAAGGGACATGAGAGAAATGAAGCTCACTTGGAACGAGCTTGGAAGGATGGCTCAGGACAGAGATGAATGGAAGGAGCTTGTATGTGGCCTATACCCTGCCAGGGGTGAAAGGCATTGATGATTGATGATGAATCCCCATGTCAGTGATATGGAGTGTTCTTTCAGTACCCTTTGCTCTCCTTTTGACAGTGAGAAAGATACATGTGACAGTACTGTCAAATCTCTTTGCACCGTACCGTCCCCTTTATACCACCAGCTCCACAGTACCACCAACTGTATGCTCGTCCCAGGATAGAAGAAGAAAAGACCAGAGATTCTACTGCATAATAACAATACACTCGAGCACGTATGGATATATGGCACAAGGGATGCACTTTTCATGCAGCAGGAAGTAGGTTCAAGTTTTAAAAATTATGTCGATGTTAAACCTTAGAACGGACTGTATGGATGCTATTCCTTGTTTAATTTTTCAATGAGAATTTTAAAGTTTTTATTCATGTCTTGCATTATCTCATGTAACTCATCAACTTTTCTCTCCAGCCGATCCTGTTTTGCATGCAGGGAAAAAATGGATTCATCTTCCTGGCTATCACTTTTTGGTAGAAGATTCGGTTTCTGTTCCTTAACAGGGAGTCCATCGGACCCTCTCTTTGGACGAACTGCAGGTGGTGAGAAATCTTGCGAGACAGGAGGTTCTGATTCAGAAGAATGTAAGCTGACAATGGCCGGGTCAAGAGGCTCTGACTCTGAGTAGTCCGAGTCCTCTCCTTTGTTTTGGTTGTAGTACTTTTCATCAATCAATTTCACAAGCTGCTTGTGATTATGTTGTAGAAGTACTTCAAGGAATGCATCGTACCAGTTTTCTTCTCGCCGTGGGAGGGCATCTAGAAGTAAAAGCACTGCATCACGTGTGCAGTCATTCGACTGAGCTTTCTTTATCCTGTCAGCATCATCAGAAAAGATAATACTTTTAGCCAACAATTCCTGGGCTATCAGTGTTGGGTCAATTGTGTCACCAACTTGCCGAGAGAAAATGTGAATCACCTGAAGGAGAAAAAAAACAATAATAAAACAAAGATGTATTATTTAGGCCTACAATAATTATAGAATCTTAAAGTTAGTAAAGAATGTGGCCTAGTAATACAATGATATATACATAAATGGTTTCTTTATAAAATAGATTTTAATGAATAAGAAGATAGCTCTCATAACACATGTGACAAAGACTCTTTCTGTAGCTTTCTGGTGTCTAACAACCTACTGTGTTAGAAACAAGTTACACAGCCTTTGAAATACAGTTGAAATTGTCCACCACGACAGCCATCAATTGACAAAAAAAAGTGGTTGTCTTAAAACAAGTAAATGTCTTGAAAAGTGTCATTATAATTTTTTTTAAACACAAGTGAGGAAGTGGAAGTAGTGTTTGTACACGTGATTGTCTTGGACAGGTCATCAGTAGAAGCAGGTTTGACTGTAAACCATATCTCCGAACTCCAGTTTTCCTGCTCTGCTATCCTTCACATGTATCATTTATACTTAATAAAAGGACAACTCTTCAAACAAAATAGCTCTAACTTCTCTCTTTCAAACACACCCTTGACCTTAGAGTAAGTTAGATCGAACACCTTGCTAAAAATCATGAGAAAACACTGGCAGAGAAATAAAGACATCGGACAACTAGTGGATGTCAAATCAAACATGAAGTACACTGAAAAGTGACAAACAAACGATTTGGACACATTGTGTCAATGGGGCCACAACAGCCAGCCTGACTATTTTCTATGTAAAAATATTCCATTGAAGGTGATGACGCGGGTGGGTAGCCGGTGCTCTGGTGCGGTTTGCTCCTTCTTTCATATCATCTCTATTATCCTTATCTCTCTTCCTTTTCTGTGTTTGTTATTTTCTTGTAACACCTCTAATCTTCAGCACTTTTATGACCTTACTGTGTTGCAAGTGTCATAAAACGCTTGCTAAAACTAAAGAAGAAAATGACACACCTCCTTGTGCTCCTCTTGTTTAGACAAGATCTCCCTCTTGTCAGTCAAAACATCCACCAGGAAGGTGTAGCCATGAGCTCTCAGAGCATTAACGAAAGTCTGGAGAGCAGAGTGAATAAACAGATACAGTCAGCGCCGTTTGTGTGGAACTCGCTTGAGCTGATCTTCAAATCAGTTAAGTCGATCTTTTTTTCGGGTCTCAGCACCTCTTCTTCTTTGCAGACCTCAACGGTTAAGTTGAACTTTGGACGAGTTGATCCTTATTCCACTCCCCCAACAGCATCAACTCATCGGTAGTCGATAGTATATGATACAGTCTAGCAATCACATAGTGATCATGCACACAGTGAATGAAACATATCGCAAACAGATTTTCAGGACTTGAATTTTCTGTCGCCGTAGAATTATGCAAATTTAGAAGGCCAAATTATGAAAAAAAAAAAAAGCAAAATTATGCAAAAATTATGCAAGTTACCGTAACACCATTCGCGACATGTTTTGCACTTTTTCAACGCGAAGTTTCATGATTTTCATGTTTTATGTACAGAAAAATTGAAAACAGAACATATCAGTATCAGTAATTTGTTGTGTATTTGGAAAAGAAAACAATACACATCAGTAAAAAAAATCCAAACCAACCAAAAAATATAATCTCTGTAACTTTCAGCTGTAGATCTAGAGTCTAGATTTAGATCTAGAAATCTATATCTATATCTAGATCTATAAAGGAAAGAAAAATGTTTGTTTTTTTAAAAGGATATCTGGACCCCTGATGCAGGCACATTACTAAAACCAGGGACACCTGTCAAACATGAAACATCAGCAGACATGAGAACAACAACTTTTGATGGATTGAAAAATTGAACATGCTCAAGGAACAAAACCCCAACCCATATCCAAGATCTTCTAACAAGGGAAATAACCAAGTTTTCACTTAAATGAGACTTATTACGGTGATTACGTCCCTTTAGTCACATGGCGAGGCGTTAATTAATTGTTTTGTGAAAAAAAAAAGAAAAAAACGTGAAAAACGTGGAGAATCTAAAATTATGCAAATGTTGCAGAATTACGCGAAAAAAAACGCGGCCCCGCCGGCGCGGCCGCACAATCCTACGGGGACAGAATTTTTTCCTTGCAAGTATATACTTTTTGTACAAAACAAGTAAATAGCGATATTCCTTGATAGATAGCAAAAAGATTACCGCACCCCACTGGTTTCTCTATAGTAGATGTGTGTGCTGTACTGTATACACAAAGATTCCAAGAGCTGAACGTTTTCATTACCGTAATAATAAAAACATACAGTTAACAAGAGAGAAACTCCATATATATAGAAACGTAAAGTTCTTTAAAATAAAAATAAAAACCAAAGTGAATACCTGTCACCTCAAATCCCATCTTCTTTTCAGTACTAAAAACACAATTCCCAGTGGTGCCCAAATACGGCCAACTACAACTATCTTCTATTTCAATCAGTTTACTACCCCACTTTTTTACAGATCGACTGAGAAAGCATCATGAAGAAACAAAGCAAATTTGGCAACTGATATATATATATATATATTACCCAAACCTCACATCTGTCTCTTATCTTTCTTCATCCTTAGCCATACAAATTTGCTCTACTGAATCAAGAAATCCATTGCAAAACAGCAATGAATGAACCAGGCTGGGGCGACCATCCCCGACCCGGCGGGTCCCAGGTGGCGGATAGGGAACGGCCACTGTAATGGAGGTTAGCTGTGAATATGTTGAATAAGCAGCCCCGGACCAACTGGCGATGCTCTTACCAGGATGGGGTGAGGTGGCAGGTGGCGCTACCACATCATTAGATGCCTTAGGAGTCCTCTGACGGGAGCATCATGTGGAAAAGGACCGCATTAAGTCCTGGCTACGGGTGAGATCCGGTAACAATTCCTCCCTGTGCTACCAGGGTAGGTCCTTGGACCTGGAGCTGGAGTGCTGAAATCGGAGGTATTGGGCAGCAAGGCGCTCTCTAGAGAACCACAATACCACGTAATACTGCAATATATGACACTTGAAGTAGGTAACTTTAGATATGGTGCTCGCCCTGTGAGGACCCACCAGGCAGGTGCAGTGCCGGGCCCCAAGCCTCGAAGGGGTCCACCCCAGCGACTGGAGGACCTTCCATCGTCTTGGAGTGCCAGGAGACAAGGAAGAAAAGCGACTGGTAACACAAACACAAAACAGGTAAAGAAAAGTCTTAATATCATGCACTGGAATGCCGAAGGAAGATAATGAAATACACATCAGCTGTATACAGGAAACGCACCTGCAGGAGGAGGCAAGCTTTAAGGTAAGAGGATATCAGTGCTTCAGAAATGATCGCCAAGGTAGAAAAAAGGAGTATTGACCCTGGTAAGAAATAACCTAAATACCATTGAAATAACAAAAATATACAGGAGAAGCTGAATATATCCACAACAGGATCACCACCAGCAGAGGCAATCTGGATCTAGTGAACTACTATTGTCCAAATGATAAAAACCTTGTGCTAGAAACCATAGAAGTCCCAGACACAGACTTTATCATCGCTGGAGATTTCAACAGCCAGTCCCAGAGTTGGGGATATAACAAACTAGACAGGAGAGGAGAAAAAATAGAGGCTTGGCAAGATGAAAACCATCTTCTGCTTATATATGATCCTTTAGATCAACCCACATTTTATTCTCGAGCTTGGCATTCAACTACGACTCCAGACATAGCACTCTGCACAGAAAACTTGCATAGACATCTAAGTAGAAAAGTGGAAACCCAGCTTGAGGGAAGTGACCATCGCCCTGTTATTTTTACCATAGTAGAGAGCCTGCCAGAGGACAGCCCGGAAAGGCCGAGATGGAACTACAAAAAGGCAGACTGGAGATTTTTCAGCATAAGAACTAATGAGCTGACAAAGAACATCGCAGTCTTCGACAAAAAAACAAAACAATGCCATCACAGAGTTCAATGAAAACATCCTTAAGTCTGCAAAAGAAACCATACCTAGAGGGGTAAGGAAAAATTACACCCCATACTGGACGCCAGAACTCCAGAAAACACATAACGACCTCATCAAGGCCAGAGAAGAAGCCGAATCACATCCAGGGATAGAAAACAACAACAAGCTACAGAGGTGTAAAGCCCACTATCTCAAAACCCAAATTGGAGTGCACCAGGAAAAGCTGGAGAGACAAAATGCACAAATTTAACCTCGAAAAGGACACCACAAAACTATGGAGGCTTGTAAAGGGGCTAAACGACAAAGGAAATAAAAGTGCCAAGATCACTCTAGAAATTGAAGGAGAGATGGAAATGGAGCTTTGTAAAAGCATATGCTCAAGAAAGCAACATCAAAATACCAAGAGAGAGACAAAAAGAAGTCAGACAAGAGGAAAGAAGAAAAAGAAGTACAAATAACATCCCGGAAGCAATGGAGAAGAACATCACCATGGAAGAGCTGAAGAAAGCAATAAATCAACTGAATCAAAGAAAATCACCAGGCCCCAATGAAATTACAAACGAAATGCTACAACACCTGGGCAACACAGCGTTACAGACTCTACTTGATATATTTAATTTAAGCTGGAAAAAAGGGCAAGTACCTCAGTGCTGGAAAGAAACAACGATGATCCCGATTCTCAAACCAGGGAAAAATAAGGCACAACCATTAAGCTATAGACCTATAAGCCTCACAAGCTGTGTATGTAAGACAATGGAGCGCATCATAGCTTGCAGAATGTAGTGGTACCTAGAGGCACAACACATCCTAGTACCAGAACAAGCTGGATTCCATCAGTCCAGGAGCACAGAGGACCAAACAACATACTTGTCCCAAGTAATAGAGGACTTCTTCCAGGCACAGAAAGTGATGCTAGCAACATTTGTTGATCTACAAAAAGCGTTTGACAAGGTGTGGAAAGAGGGTCTACTAGTCAAGCCCCTTAGAAGTGGTATCCAAGGCAACATGAACCTATGGACCAAATCCTATCTAATCCTATCTACACAACAGAAGAGCATGTGTGCTGGTGGATGGATATCAAGGACAGAAAATGCTGCTGCGACAAGGAGTACCCCAAGGTGGAGTCATGTCACTTTTGCTATTTATCCTCTTCATCAATGACCTCATGAAAGAACTGCCCAAAGGAATACATGCTGCATTGTATGCAGACGACCTGGTTCGTTGGCGCTCTGAGGAATTCATCACTACTGCCACATATCGCATGCAACTAGCATTGGACAAACTCACTACATGGACAAAAACCTGGTGTGTAACCGTAAACAAAGAAATGTCTTCTGCTACACTCTTTTCTCTCAGCCAGACTGAACCAAAACACCTCACATTTGACAAAACCCCCCTAAAGTTCGAGAATCAACAGAAGTATCTTGGAATAATCTTTGAGACAAGCGTCTCACATGGAAACAACACATTCAAAATGCAGAAACTAAAGTGCAAAACCAGGCTCTCTGAATAATCACTGGAGCAATGAGGTCAACGCCTATAGAAAAGATGGAACAAACAACATCTATAGTGGCACTGAAGAGGAGATGGGAATGCAAGGCCCTCATACAGTACACCAAGGCCACAGCTATGGAGGATCATATACTGCACACAAAAACAGCCAGATCAAACACCACAAGACTAAAAAGATCCAACTTCATCAAAGAAAGCAGAAAAATCCAAAGATCCCTACAGGACCATCTACCAGCCACAGTGAACATGCTGAACCACACCCCAGAGGCACCGTCATGGGAAAAGAAAAACACAAACATATCTATACACACGTCCATTCCTATGTTCACCACAAAAGATGACCACAGCGACCTGAGCAAGAAATCCCTCACCCTGTCCCTGCTTGAACAAAGATACCCACGAGAAGCATGGATAAGGATCTATACAGACGGATTTGCCACTGATGCTGTGAAAAGAGGAGGAGCCGGAGTGTACGTACAATTCCCAAATGGACGACGACAAGCAGAGGCAGTCCCAACAGGGCGACATTGTACAAACTACAGGGCAGAGACGGAGGCTCTAATACATGCAGCAACCATCATCATGAATGTGGTAGACCCCCAAAGCCAAGTAGAGTTCCTAACAGATGCCATGTCAGTACTGCAGGCAATCACTTCCGGCAAACTACCAAGGCTGCGAAAAGAAATTGAGGACATCCCATGTCTGAGGATCATGCTGCAGTGGATTCCATCACACTGTGGTGTCTTAGGAAATGAGCAGGCAGACTGGATGGCCAAACTAGGAGCACAGAAAGACCAACCAGACAACAGCGTAAACTACACAGAAACAAAAACTATTATAAATACACTATTTAAAGCACCCCAGACACCAGATGGCTACCATGAGCTGTCCCGACAAGAACAAGTGATTATCTTCAGACTAAGGACACAACACACAAGACTGAGACAACATATGTACAAATGTTTTAAACAAATACAATCACCAAAATGCCAGTGTGGAGAGGCGGACCAAACTGTTGAACACATCCTTCAGCACTGCAAGACACACAGGGCCCTGAGACAGGAAACGTGGCCAACCCCACTGACGCTGCAAGAGAAGCTATACGGGCCGACAGATGAACTGAGCAAGACGGCCCAATTTATGACAGATACCAGACTTCAAGTATGATGCGATCGAGAAGAAGAAAGAAGAAGCAATGAATGAAAAATTTCAATACTCAGTTCGGCCTCTAAAGTGCACAGGTCTTAACTTGGCAATATATGTCAACCTGTGTGCTCCACTTAAACTTAAACTAAGCCATCAGCATCTGTTGTGAAGAGGTTACGCATTTTGCTGTCACAGGCAGGAGAAACGAGTTTGATTCCTGAACAGTGAGATATTTCTATTGAGTATTTTGACAGTCTTTCTGCTGGGATGCAGTACCAATCTCAGCCCAAGTTGGCAATGACAGGCAGGGTCGGAAACCCGCCTCCTATTTGAGCTAAATTGTGTATATGGGAGTATAAAAACAGCTACATTCATGGGTTTTTTTTTAATACGCCAATTTGGCTCATGGAAGCCATAGTTTCCCGTGCCAGCAGGAAATGCAATACAACAGTCTCCACCTAAACGCACTGTGCTCGGGAGGGCTCTTTAGCGTGTGTTTATACAGAGCGTACGTTTACACGAACTTGTGCAAAGGGAGAAAGGAACGCAGTCATCTCACTGTCTTGATATTCTAGTGATTTTCTATGGGCGATAATGTGACGACACATGACTATTTTGTGAAGGATTTCCCGACTGCAGTTAAGAATACAAAGGCATTGAATGAAAGAGGAGGGGTGGGGGGCAGTTGGACAGACTCAATGAAATGATATGCACCATAAAATGTCGGGAACAGATAGCCTAAAAGGAAACTGTTGGCGATAGTCATGGAGACGAAGGCGCAACCATCGTGGCTTTCAAAGCAACCACCCCCAACCGTAAATTCATGAACGACATCAGAATCATAGATCTCAGAGAAACATTTCTCTTGTGATTCGTTGAACAAGTACGTTATAATAACATAAATAAGTTCTTCAAATGCAGCTGATTAGGCTTACTTGACTATTCTTTAACTTAATCCTATAGAGCCCTATCTAGTGTTTTACAGCATTCACGCGTGTTGCGCATCATAGGCCTAGGTCTAACCAAAGACCTTTGGTCTAACTAAACATTACATGCAGTCACCCAAACATTAGTCAGCAACCTTCTCTCAAAGATGCACTTCCAGTGAACAAATAAAAAAAACATTTCAGTCCCCCAACCCCCCAACATTTCACAGACTAGTCCTAGACCTAAATGTCAGTGGAAAGTTGGGAGTGAAAACACTGTTCATCACTCTCTTTGTTCAACGTGAGGGGCAGTCTCATCCAGTATCCGGTTTTCTAGGCTTTTCTTATGCAAGCTGCATAGGCTGCAGCAAAAATTTCCCCTCGTCAAGCTTTACCTGTCGGCGTGTTTCGTGGATCGGAGCGTGCATTTAGAGGGACTCTGAGAGAGTGACCGTACGTTTGTACGTCTAAAGTATATAGTAAAATACCCGTCAGATGACGAAAGCGTCCGTTTGAGCGGAGCGTGTTTTTGTATGGCGTGTGTTTAGGTGGAGACTACTATAATTTGCCAGCAACATGACTACATCACACCAAAACACCAAAACATGAAAATTAGTATCAATAGTAAAATTAATAATGGCATTTGTTAATAAATCAAAACGGCCAAAAATTATCAGATTGAACTTTGTAATTGTAAGGTAGCGAAATCTTACAATGAATAAAATTCAAATTCAGATACTAATTCTTATAAGGGGGGGCCCATTATCGCGATCGGGTGGGGGGTCGGGTCGGGTAATTTTCTGGTGGTTTCAGAGCACACTGCCACCCCTCCGCGATTGTACCCGACGACCAGGAAGTTAAAGTAGAGAACCCTTAACCTCAATGGCTTCCAGGGATCCTTTCCGCAGTTCCCTGTTGTAGTGCTGTGGCAGCCTGGAATTACATAAACATGGGTTGCATCAAAAACTCTCTCTTATTTTCTCTGAATCGACAGACTCCATTGTTATCAATTGTTGTTGGTATTTCGCGAGGAAATGCCCGACCTTGACACCACAGTGTCAATATGGACACGTGACTCAGTCTTGTTGTGACTGGCAGCAAACAACCAAATCGCGCGACTCGCAGACCTGAAAACAAACGCTTTTGTTTTTGAAGGACACCGACCGAGCCATCGGTTAGTGCCACGATGGCCGTTTTTCACCCTCAATTTGGCTAGCCCCGACTACCAAATAGACCCGATCCGACCCGACCCGATTGCGCTAGTGAGCACACCCTATTATGTATCACATTGCTTACAAACAACAGAGATATTTAAATTAAGCTTCACAGAAAACAAGATTATTATCATGGAAACAACAGTGAGGAGTAAGCAAAAGGCAACTGACTTATGAGCTTAAAAAAAAAAAGGGGATAGCATGAAAAAAGGAGATCGATAGCTTCGACCAATGTCTATTTAAGTTAAGGGAAAATAAATTATTTTCAGTTGCTCTGTTATATCTATATATAGGCTACTTACTTGATATTTGCCTTCTTCCTCCGATTGCTGCAGAGTTTGCAAAAAAATATCAGCTGCCCCTTCATTGTCTCCTAACTTTTCCGCCCGAAATATTTTCATTTGCACATTTCTCATGAAAGGCATATACGTCATAAGGTGGCTAAACTTGACAGTCTTCTTGATGTAAGGCCAAAAAACAGCTCTGACCTTGTAAGAGAGTTGATCAATGTTTGATGCTTCATCCATAACTCTGTAGATCAACAAAAGAATCAAGAGTTGAATTATTAGAGTTTATTATACTCATTCCCAAAATATCACTGAGTGTTAAGTGGTTTACTTTTAGCCACTAACTAGAAGACATTCTGCTTTGCGAGAATTTACAGAAGGAAAAATTAAACAGTGATCAGTTCAGGCTAGCATTTAGTTTCAGTTTAATCAACTTCGTATTCAGGTGTCTATGATTTATGTTTATGTGTATACATTTAAACATGTTCAATTTTTTACACAGAAAACTTGTAATTAGTTCTGCTAAAAAAAACTGAATAAGAGCAAAAATCCATCCAAAGGCTAGCTGCCATGATAGTGCTCAGAATCTGTTTAACACTAACCATTCATAAATGGTCAAAGTAAGAGTAAGTATTATAAGTATATGGTATATGTGTGTTCAACACCCCTTTCAATACTTTAAGGTAATCTAACATGCAAGCGGAACCTCTGAATTTATCGTCCATCTCCGATAGGACTATGGTTTTCAAAAGACCAGAGCCTTGAATACTCCACAAAACCACCCAAGCTCAAGATTACCCAATCAGGTATTTAAACCAGGGCCCTACTTCAAAGTCCAACATGACACATACTGAACTAAAGGAGCACCCTTCCTAAAATGGTTAAAAAGAAATGCAAATCACCTTCTCAAATGATCCACATAACAACAACATTAATTTGACTTTTTTTTTTTTTTTTTTTTTTTGGTGAGTGTTTTATGGCCCTCGCAACTGTAAGCCATATTATGAGCGCACTTGATACAATATTAAGCATTTTTAGCTTTGTACAAATCAATAAATTTCGCCGAGTGGCAGCCGAAGCCTATAGGCCTAGTAATCAATTTTAGGACCAACATATAAAGGGATCTTAAGGGATCACAATATATTTACACACAGAACCTCCCAAATTTTTTTTGCACTTATTTACTACAAATTAATCCACAAATCTTATTATACTATACTCACAGACTTGATTGAGCCCCTTCACTTGAGGAAGCCGACTCCATACTGATCTTCAGCTAAATCTTACCTTGACTGTTGAGAATAATAGTAATTTAATGAGCTTTGTCATACATTATAAAGATAATAATAATGATAATAATAATA